CGAACTGGCCAAGTCAAAGACTGTGGTGGCCGCCTCAGGCACTTTAGGGGCCGGAGGGGCCAAGGTTATTTGAATAACCTCGGCCCCTTAGGCAACCAAAGTGCCCGAGGTGGAGTCTAGGCCCACTTGATTTTTTTTTTCTCTTTGACTGTTTGAATTTCTCATTATCTTTATTTATTTTGACTAACAAAATTTTTTCTCTTGCAGAAAAGGAAAATTGTAACACATAAAAAGGTTGTTGGAGCCAAGAAGACACAAGAAGTTCAATTCGGCATTGACAACGATATCACAATTGACATGTCCATTGACACAACAAAGACACATTTAGTTAGAGATTCACCACCTCCTCCACCATCACCTCCACCATCACCACCTCCACCACCACCATCGCCACCTCCACCACCTCCATCACCACCTCCACCACCTCCATCGCCACCGCCACCACCACCATTGCCACCACCACTGCCACTATTGCCTCTACCCCCACCACCACCACCACCACCACCAACGCAAATCCCTGAAGTTGGGCAATCTAGTGGTGTTCACGATAGGGAACCTAAGGAACAGCCTGGAGCTGAAAGAGTTGCAGACCTTCCTGACAACATGGTGGACAAGCGCTTCCAATAGACTGTTATACGGACAAGGAAAAAAGCAGTTCACCAAACACTTGAGGCACTCAAGTGGCCAGGCCCTTGTGACTTGATCAGAGAAATCCCCCTTTGCCGTTTGCAGCAGACGAACCTTGTCCGCACAACATCCAAGTATGTCAACCTGGATATATACAACTTGTTTAAACAGAATGGCCTTGCAACAAATATCGGTATATTTCTAGTCTCTTTTTGCAAGTTAGGAACAATGGAGATCATTACTGTCACACCCGAGATTGTGAATAGCTGGGATCCTATTTGGAGGAGGAAGTCCCTAGAATTTGATGACATGCTTATCAGACATCTTGAGACTCGACAGCTTGCGGGGACAATGTTCCAAATTATTGACGGTAACCACCGATATGGAGCTTAGATGAAGTGTATTGATGATCATTTTTGCGATGATCCCGTCTACCATATCAACGTTCCAGTCGACCATGTCTACGCAAGGGGACCTTTGGATGTCAACAGACTTATCTTGGCTTGCCAAAAGATCAATGCGTAAGTTTTATAATTTTACCTCTAACTCCACTTTAACTTGTTTTGTTATGTTTAAATGTAGGCTTGGGTAGTTCGCTGTTCAAAAATAAAACCTTGTCCATGACATTGAGCAACTTCGATTTTTGGCAGACTTGAGTGAGGATGACATCCGCCAACATTATGGTGATGATCTCGCAACACTTGTTCGGCACTCATGCACTCGAAATGACGGTACAACTTGGTTCAGCAACCCAATCAGTTTTATGCTCGCTGTATGGTGTAAGGTATATCTTTCCCTTTAAATTTATAAAAGCCTCTTTTAATTGTTTTGGTTTTTAGCCTTTGGTGAAGGTCAAGCAGGATGCTTACAAACTTGCATATCCGGAGAAGAGTCGGGAAGAGCTCTCAGCTGAGTTTGTACAAATTGAGCACAAAATTCAGCATGCAAAGTCCTCAAAGTTGAAGAAACTAATATGCATTGCAGACAATTGCAGGCCGAAGGAGTGGCTAGAGACTATAGCCGAAATTTCTTCTCATGAATGTAAGTTTCTTATCACACTTCATTTTTCTTAATTATGCATATGTTACTTTTGCAATGAACAAAACTCCAGATGACATGATTTACAATATCGCAAAATCGAAGCTTCCATATAAGCAACAGATAGAGACTCTGGAGTTCCTCAATGTCTACTTGATAAACAGAGAGAAAGGACTGCCAAAACTATTGAGAACATGATGAGAAGGG